GCGTGAGTATTGTTGTTTCTTGATGTATAGAATGTTGGTACGACGTGAGTACTGTTGTTTCATGATATGTAGAATGTTGGCACGGCGTGAGTATTGTTGTTTCTTGATGTATAGAATGTTGGTACGACGTGAGTACTGTTGTTTCATGACGTGTAGAATCTTGATACGACGTGAGTATTGTTGTTTCTTGATGTATAGAATGTTGGTACGACGTGAGTACTGTTGTTTCATGATATGTAGAATGTTGGCACGGCGTGAGTATTGTTGTTTCTTGATGTATAGAATGTTGGCACGGCGTGTATATTGTTGTTTCTTGATGTATAGAATCTTGATACGACGTGAGTGCCATTGTTTCATGATATGTAGAATGTTGGTACGACGTGAGTGCTTTTGTTTCTTGATATAAAGAATGTTGGTACGGCGTCAGTGCTTTGGTTTCACGTTATATGGAATGTTGGTACGACGCGAGTGCTTTTCTTTCATGATGTGTAGAGTGTTGGTTTATCTGTCATGTTGAATTCTGGTACGACTTCGATATAATCAGTTATTCATTAATGTCCATACCTTGATTTCACTCCGATTCGGTGTGTTCCGTAAGTGGAGACTGCATATTGAAACTTTTAAAGGACAGAGTTGAGCATTTCCATACAACCCTACCGTGTAAAATATACGTCCCCTCGACCGAGAAGGTCGCGAAAAAGGAAATATAGTTCTCATTTACGTCACCCGATGCAATCCCGAATGTCGTGAATCTTTTCTTTTCCATCACTGAAGTTGATTAACGGTTATTGCAACAAATATTTCATAAAATGTAAAATCATTTAGTCTACGTCACATGAACTCGATCGTATCCCCGGCTCCACTCGCCAACTCTGCGTTGTCGATTACGAGGCCATATTTTCCGTTCAATACTCGTGTTTCTTACTTGATGGTGAATTCATACGCCATCCTTACTTTAACGACCCCATGTTTTAACGCTGAATTAGATCTTATGCACAAATTAAGTGAACAATAACACGCTACTGCACTCGATCCCTTCTTACAACGATTGTATTTCAGAACGCATCTCGCTCGTTTTCGTTGTCATAGAAACATAGCTGGGACTTCTGACCGGAGATGCTTCCCTATTCATGAACACCGGGTGTCATGACTGATTCTCAGTGGTCCATTCATATAATTTTCACATCGAGTTTGCCCTTTGCTCTGAAAGGAATCTGCTTTTGCGGGCACTCCAGACTGGTTGCATTGACAGTTTATGCATAATTAATTATATGTATGTAATTCAAAAATAATAAGCCATAAATGCAATATGGCAATTATCACAAATAAACAACAGAAACTTCACAGACTGCTTATTTAATCATTAACACTAAAAACCTATAGAAACCAGTGACATTGTTCAGCGCGATAATGCGACACAAGCCCTGACCATTCTTTTATCACTTCTTTGATAGGCATTTAGAAGTTGGAGTACTAAGTAAGGATACGAATTTATGGTTGAACAACTTCTTTATTACAATTAAGAGCGACGTTTCGGTGTAGGTTCTAACACCGTTATCAAGCAAGTGATATACAGGGTGTGGTTGATAAATATATATACAAGTAGGAGGCAATGTTTATACAGTAGAGTAGATATTGTTATACTGGAGTAGAGAAGCCTGTTATGTATACACAAGGGCAGTGATGACAATCATCAGTGAAGTCAGTACCTTAAACAAAGGATGAAGCCAGTAATAAAAACAATGGGATTATGGCTGATTGGGGTCTTTGATGAGTTGATGGTACGCCGGGGGTATGTAATAGCCTTGGTCACGGTTGATTGACGGTTGGAGTCTTTTGATGTTGATGGCTTCTTGTAGTTTCCTGATCTTGAAGTCTTTGAGGTTGGTGATGAGAGCTGTGACTTTCTCCCACTGCATGCTGTGTGATCTGAAAGAGCTGATTTAGAGTCATCTTTGGAGACTGAGCTTTGATGTTCTTTTATTCGGGTTTTGAGGGGCCTAGATGTTTCTTCTATGTAAGCTTGTCCACAGTTGCACGGAATGTGGTACACTGCTCCTGATGGTTCTAGCTTGTGGCTGGATGGTGGTTTCCCTGTGGCTTTAATTATGTTCTGAATGGTATGACTTCTCTTGAAAACTACATCAATTTTGGCCTGTTGCTTTAAGAGTCTCTGGATTTTGTGGCTAACTGTTCAAGAGTAGGGGAGGCTTATCACAAAGGGTGCAGACTGTTGGCGTGGGGATTTCTGAGATTTCTTGGTGATGATATACCCTCTGTATATCACTTGCTTGATAACGGTGTTTGAACCTACACTGAAACGTCGCTTAATTGTAATAAAGAAGTTGTTCATCCATAAATTCTTATCCTTACTTACATTCTCTTATCAGACAATCACATTCTGATTGTGGACGTATTGTAAGTATTTCTCTGTTTATGTCTCTCTATTTGTTGTTGAAAAAATTATAGCGACAAAACCCTTTTCATTTCAAATAGAAATCCACGCATAAAGTAGAGTCGACTGTACGATTCCGACTACATCATGAGCATGTGTTTATGAATCAATATCAAATAGTAATGATATCAGGTGTTCGCGATAAAGTGTGCATATCCTGCCCCACCGGTGGCACCCGTCACAAACACATGCAAAGACAAGTCAATTCTTAACCTGAAAAACCACGGGAACATATGGTAGAAGTCAAAATAATGAATTGCATCGGACATCATTTTTGTCTCTGATGTGTCAAATGTGTTAAAAGCCATGGGCTATCTAGCAATTTATTTATTCCTAAATTAACCGGAATGTATGTTCAGTCGAGATCGAGAGGAAGTTGTTTTGACCAGCAGTGTAACCAACCAACAGTTGAGGTGACTTTTATGACGCCACGACGTATGTGTGTCTCATGTGACACAATGTTATAACTCTGGCCCATAAATTGTGAGTAACCCTTTATCGTGGTCGAAAATAATTGTGGGAGATCACGTGTCAAAGATATGTTCCTGGATTTCAGTTGACCTTCACAATAGCTGGGGTCATGTTTTGCGATGTACGTTGCTACTGGTCAGAATATCAGGCTACCAATTTCCATTGTATTTAGATGTACATACTCGTGTTCAATGCATCACAGATGCAAGGCTACAATTACTAGCCCGGATATGGGACACGGCGCCCAGGGCGACCGCATCAGTTAAAGACGTTTGCTAACGTGGTTACTGATGCCGTTTGGTACAAGAGAATACTGTTTAGACCTGGCTCACAAACAGGGGGTTTACACGCCAGGACACAAGCTCTATCAGCCTGTACTCACCCTTCCCAGCTCTATCAGCCTGTACTCACCCTTCTAAGCTCTATCGGCCTGTACTCACCCTTCCCAGCTCTATCAGCCTGTACTCACCCTTCCCAGCTCTATCAGCCTGTACTCACCCTTCCCAGCTCTATCAGCCTGTACTCACCCTTCCTCAGCTCTATCAGCCTGTACTCACCCTTCCCAGCTCTATCAGCCTGTACTCACCCTTCCCAGCTCTATCAGCCTGTACAAACCCTTCTCAGCTCTATCAGCCTGTACTCACCCTTCCCAGCTCTATCAGCCTGTACTCACCCTTCCCAGCTCTATCAGCCTGTACTCACCCTTCCCAGCTCTATCAGCCTGTACTCACCCTTCCCAGCTCTATCAGCCTGTACTCACCCTTCTCAGCTCTATCAGCCTGTACTCACCCTTCCCAGCTCTATCAGCCTGTACTCACCCTTCCCAGCTCTATCAGCCTGTACTCACCCTTCCCAGCTCTATCAGCCTGTACAAACCCTTCTCAGCTCTATCAGCCTGTACTCACCCTTCCCAGCTCTATCAGCCTATACCCTATCAGCCTGTACTCACCCTTCCCAGCTCTATCAGCCTGTACTCACCCTTCCCAGCTCTATCAGCCTGTACAAACCCTTCTCAGCTCTATCAGCCTGTACTCACCCTTCCCAGCTCTATCAGCCTGTACAAACCCTTCTCAGCTCTATCAGCCTGTACTCACCCTTCTAAGCTCTATCAGCCTGTACAAACCCTTCTCAGCTCTATCAGCCTGTACTCACCCTTCTAAGCTCTATCAGCCTGTACAAACCCTTCTCAGCTCTATCAGCCTGTACTCACCCTTCTTAGCTCTATCAGCCAATACCCACCCCATTCTATCTATCTATCCTGGCGGTCGGGTAGCCTAGTGGTTAAAGCGTTCGCTCGTCACGCAGAAGACCCGGGTTCGATTCCCGACATGGGTACAATGTGTGAAGCCCATTTCTGGTGTCCCCCGCCGTGATATTGCTGGAATATTGCTAAAAGCGGCGTAAAATCAAACTCACTCACTCACTCACTATCTATCTATCGTTCGTTCGTTCGTTCGTTCGTTCGTTCGGGGCGTCCATGTATCGAGCGCACGATTGAATAAGTTTGGGCCTTCATGCGTGGATGCGTGTGTCTGCGTGAGTGGAACGCAGTGGCCAGTAATTTCCCGCCCATATCACAGCGGCCGTATTCGAATCAAGCATCAGAAATGGAAATCAGAAACAACTGCATATCGTTCGTCAGTTCCGTTTCTCATGGTAATCGAGATTTATTGCCGGCCAACAGGATAATAGTAACCCCCGCCACTTGTCCCTTTCCCCCAATAATGTATCTCCCAGTCCCTCCTTCACATCCCACAGCATATATTTAACAAAGCAACCCCATTGCATACCGTTCAATTCTCACTTCCATCTGCTTATACTCACCCCTCCTCAGCTCTGTCATCCTGTACTCTCCCCTCCTCAGCTCTATCAGCCTGTGCTCTCCCCTCCTCAGCTCTATCAGCCTGTACTCACCCCTCCTCAGCTCTATCAACCTGTACACATCCCTCCTCAGCTCTATCAGCCTGTACTCACCCCTCCTCAGCTCTATCAGCCTGTACTCACCCCTCCTCAGCTCTATCAGCCTGTACTCTCCCCTCCTCAGCTCTATCATCCTGTACTCACTCCTCCTCAGCTATATCAACCTGTACTCACCCCTCCTCAGCTCTATCATCCTGTACTCATCCCTCCTCAGCTCTGTCATTCTGTACTCATCCCTCCTCATCTCTATCATCCTGTACTCATCCCTCCTCATCTCTATCATCCTGTACTCATCCCTCCTCAGCTCCGTCATCCTGTACACACCCTTTCTCAGCTCTGTCATCCTGTACTCCCCCTTTCTCAGCTCTGTCATCCTGTACACACCCTTTCTCAGCTCTGTCATCCCGTACTCACCCTTTCTCAGCTCTGTCATCCTGTACACACCCTTTCTCAGCTCTGTCATCCTGTACTCACCCTTTCTCAGCTCTGTCATCCTGTACTCACCCTTTCTCAGCTCTGTCATCCTGTACTCACCCTTTCTCAGCTCTGTCATCCTGTACTCCCCCTTTCTCAGCTCTGTCATCCTGTACACACCCTTTCTCAGCTCCGTCATCCTGTACTCACCCTTTCTCAGCTCTGTCATCCTGTACTCACCCTTTCTCAGCTCTGTCATCCTGTACTCACCCTTTCTCAGCTCTGTCATCCTGTACACACCCTTTCTCAGCTCCGTCATCCTGTACTCACCCTTTCTCAGCTCTGTCATCCTGTACTCACCCTTTCTCAGCTCTATCATCCTGTACTCACCCCTCCTCAGCTCTATCAGCCTGTACTCATCCCTCCTCAGCTCTATCAGCCTGTACTCATCCCTCCTCAGCTCTGTCATTCTGTACTCATCCCTCCTCATCTCTATCATCCTGTACTCATCCCTCCTCAGCTCTATCAGCCTGTACTCTCCCCTCCTCAGCTCTATCATCCTGTACTCACCCTTTCTCAGCTCTATCAGCCTGTACTCATCCCTCCTCATCTCTATCAGCCTGTAGTCACCCCTCCTCAGCTCTGTCAACCTGTACTCATCCCTCCTCATCTCTATCATCCTGTACTCACCCCTCCTCAGCTCTGTCATCCTGTACTCATCCCTCCTCAGCTCTATCAACCTGTACTCACCCTTCTCAGCTCTATCAGCCTGTACTCACCCCTCCTCAGCTCTATCAGCCTGTACTCATCCCTCCTCAGCTCCGTCAGCCTGTACTCACCCCTCCTCATCTCTATCAGCCTGTACTCACCCCTCCTCATCTCTATCATCCTGTACTCACACCTCCTCAGCTCTGTCATCCTGTACTCACCCCTCCTCAGCTCTATCAGCCTGTACTCACCCCTCCTCATCTCTATCATCCTGTACTCATCCCTCCTCAACTCTGTCATCCTGTTCTCACCCCTCCTCAGCTCTATCAGCCTGTACTCACCCCTCCTCAACTCTGTCATCCTGTACTCACCCCTCCTCAGCTCCGTCATCCTGTACTCACCCCTCCTCAGCTCCGTCATCCTGTACAAACCCTTTCTCAGCTCTGTCATCCTGTACTCACCCTTTCTCAGCTCTGTCATCCTGTACTCACCCTTTCTCAGCTCTGTCATCCTGTACTCACCCTTTCTCAGCTCTGTCATCCTGTACTCACCCTTTCTCAGCTCTGTCATCCTGTACTCACCCTTTCTCAGCTCTGTCATCCTGTACTCACCCTTTCTCAGCTCTATCATCCTGTACTCATCCCTCCTCAGCTCCGTCATCCTGTACTCACCCCTCCTCAGCTCTGTCATCCTGTACTCACCCTTTCTCAGCTCTGTCATCCTGTACTCACCCTTTCTCAGCTCTGTCATCCTGTACTCACCCTTTCTCAGCTCTATCAGCCTGTACTCACCCCTCCTCATCTCTATCATCCTGTACTCATCCCTCCTCATCTCTATCATCCTGTACTCACACCTCCTCAGCTCTGTCATCCTGTACTCACCCCTCCTCAGCTCTATCAGCCTGTACTCACCCCTCCTCATCTCTATCATCCTGTACTCATCCCTCCTCAACTCTGTCATCCTGTTCTCACCCCTCCTCAGCTCTATCAGCCTGTACTCACCCCTCCTCATCTCTGTCATCCTGTACTCACCCCTCCTCATCTCTATCAGCCTGTACTCACCCCTCCTCAGCTCCGTCATCCTGTACTCACCCCTCCTCAGCTCTGTCATCCTGTACTCCCCCTTTCTCAGCTCTGTCATCCTGTACTCACCCTTTCTCAGCTCTGTCATCCCGTACTCACCCTTTCTCAGCTCTGTCATCCTGTACTCACCCTTTCTCAGCTCTGTCATCCTGTACTCACCCTTTCTCAGCTCTGTCATCCTGTACTCACCCTTTCTCAGCTCTGTCATCCTGTACTCCCCCTGTCTCAACTCTGTCATCCTGTACTCACCCTTTCTCAGCTCTGACGGTCTGTACTCACCCCTCCTCAGGTCTATCATCCTGTACTCACCCTTTCTCAGCTCTGTCATCCTGTACACACCCTTTCTGAGCTCTATCATCCTGTACTCACCCTTTCTCAGCTCTGTCATCCTGTACTCACCCTTTCTCAGCTCTATCATCCTGTACTCACCCTTTCTCAGCTCTATCATCCTGTACTCACCCTTTCTCAGCTCTATCAGCCTGTACTCAACCTTCCTCAGCTCTTGCAGCCTATACCCATCCTATTCTCAGGTCTAGGAGCCGATACTCATCCCATTCTCAGGTCCAGGTTTTGGTGCCTTCATACTAAAGAGTTCCCTTATTTGTCTGTCTGTCGTTCGTTCGTTCGTTCGTTCGTTCGTTCGTTTGTATATAATAGAAAAACAAAAGTAAATCTAAACGTGTTAGGTTTTGTTAAGATGGCTTAACTAAAATGAAAGTTCCTGCAAGATGAATTATATAGAACTATATTTAATAGGAAAACAAAAATATTATGTAAACATTATTTATATATTTTACTTTATTTCAGGGGGTATATATGTGTTAGTCTGAACTTCCACCATGCCTCAGCGCTTACACCTTACAGTTACTGGGGTCATGTAACCTTATTATTTTCATACTTACTTAAGAAACATTAAATTTTCATTGTGCAAGTTAGAAAACTATTCAATGAAAGGTATCATGGGGTTCGATATAGTTTGATATTGTTTATATATTTTCATCTCTTGGAGGAGTTGTTTATATTGCCGGGAAATTTGACTTCCTGAAAATCTCGTTACATTGTCTGTTTCAACAAGAACGCTAGCTGCCATCATGTGTTTAATCAAGGTGTGTCAAACGTTAAATGAAACCTCCGTTGACATTTCCAAGCACATGCTTGTGTCGAAGAGTGAGTGAGGGAGTGAGGGAGTGAGTTGGGTTTAACGCCGCTTTTAACAGTATTCCAGTTATATCGCGGCGTGTCAGCTTAATGTGGGAGGAAAGCCCGAAGTGATGAGTGCTCACGGGGATCTTTGATCATAAAATATTTAAAATATTAAATGCCGCACATCTTTCTTGTGTGGGAGAGTGAGTTTGATTAAAATATAAGCGACAGGGCCCTTTCAATAGCCACGTGAACAATCTGCTGAAAGCAGAACTGGTTGTACGATTCCGACCTGGTTGTAGCACGCGTCACAAACACATGCAATTCACGGCAACTGTTCACCTGAAAAAAACAACACGGGAACATTTAGGACAAATCAGAATATGGAAGAGGATCGAACATCAATTTTGTCACTTATGCCTCAAATTTCGAAATTTCCTCCACATGTCTACAGCAAAAGGTTTTGAAACTTTTACTGAGGCCTTGTTGTAACCTTGATCAAACCCCCTTTGAGCTAGAGTGGTGTGTATTATACCTGAGTGAGTGAGTGAGTGAGTATGGTTTTACGCCGCTTTTGGCAATATTCCAGCAATATCACGGCGGGGGACACCAGAAATGGGCTTCACACATTGTACCAATGTCGGGAATCGAACCCGGGTCTTCGGCATGACGAGCTAACGCTTTAACCACTAGGCTACCCGACCGCCCCTATTTTACCTGGACAAATGTGAAATGTAGACGTCAAAGGCGGGAGCAGCTAGAATATTGTTCAACTTACAGGGGAAGTCCCGGTCAATGAGGTCTCTGGTTTCGTTTTCCTGCGAGTTACGATTATGAAACAAATAAAATGTATTGACATATTTCATTATTTTTCTACATGTGTTTTGCTCTTTCAAAACGGTTTGTAACACAATTATTAATTCTTTGGATTTCCAACAAAATCAAGGCCAAGGGGCTGGTTTTACACGGATTTTTATCAAGATTTCAAATGTTTCTGTTGCTGAGTGAAATCTACATACACCCTGGCGTCAGTCTTGTGACAAGGTGGAAACAGATGCCAGATCGGTGATCATCATCTCAGATTGGAACCCCGATTAGCGGATCCTGGTCCAGTTAAGGGGTGCAAATCTGAGAATTGTTGTGTCTTATACCACTCAACCCCGCAGACCCCTAAAACGTTTAAGACAAAAAAGTAATTCCACAGCTTTTTAAACTGGCGTGTTTCAGAAAACCCTTATCTAATATAAGGGGCAACAACAGGGGGGCGCCTATATGTGAACAAATACAGTAGACTACGGTTAAAACGAACACGCTTATAACGAACTGACGGATATAACGAACTTACTTTTTGGTCCTGACTATTTGCTGTAGTTATGCTGTATATATGCTTATAACGAACTACGGTTATAACGAACTAAAATTAGTAGTCCCTTTGAGTTCGTTATAACCGTAGTTTACTGCACTCAATCTGTTTATCCCTGAAGCTATCACGATAAAGGTTACCACGGGACAAGAGGAAGACCGAAAACTGGAATTATACTCTTGGCCAAACCGCAACAAGTAAGACAGTCTCCCAGTCTGGTCTGTGGGGTCTTGCACTATGAGCGCAACAAGACATGTCTTTTGTTCTTGTAAAACTCGTTTATCTTGGCTTTCTACAGAGCTGGACACACAAGGAAGTCATTAAGCCTTGTATAGGATCCTCGGACATTAAAAGCCTGTTTTACTTTCAACCTAATCATTGAATAATGCACATCTCTGAGGAGACACGTTAATCTAGTGCTTTGAAATATGATAGCAAGCAAAGAACGCTGTAAAGATGCTATTTTCCTTACGAAGAACTTTGTCGTTGAGATGAATGGGGAACGCCCAAATAGCGACTAATTAATGCCATGGCTTAATAGCTTATGCGCACGGGGTATCGGTGATCAGAAGTCTTTAACTTGAGAGGGATCGGAAATGTGGTTGTTACATCACGTAAAGTTAGTTTGATATATCAATTTGTGTCTATAGCTTTTGTTCTTTATGCACGTGTTTACAAGAGACTTTCAAATTATATACGTCACAGCGATAAGACTCTACATGATAGGCCGCATTACTCCCCGTAAGGAATATGTTTTGTATAGCAAGGTGCATATATGTCATGGGCGGATACAGCTTTTTTGAAAAGGGGGGTGCACAATTAAGATCTATCTATTGTCTTTGGTGGTAATTTATACAGAAATAAAGATTTATTTTCGAAATAAAAGGGGGGGGGGGGGGGGGGGGGGTGCGCATCCCCACCCCACCCCACCCCGCCCCAACCCCCCCACACACAACCCCACCCCCCTCTGTATCCGCCCATGTATGTCTCATCTTCAATGCTGTTCTTAAATGCGCAAAAGAATGGTTGAAAAATATGTTTGGCACGACATATTTCAGCAGCTGTGTTTTGAACTTATGATAAATATGGGTTGAAAATGAAACAATGACTGGCCGTTTAATAATATAGTAAACAAATTGAACAGATCTCAAATTACAAAATATCGCCACACGTGAAAATATAATCCCCAGCAGTATGTTAAGGATAACGCACACGTTACTGACACGTGATGATCTGGGGTAGAACATGTCTTCAAGATCCCATGCTTTTCGTAAGAGGCGACTAACGGGATCGGGTGGTCAGGCTCGCGGGCCGTTCCATGCACGGTGTTCCTCCCTCGGGCTCGAATAACAACACAAGTGATTGTATTTTACATCCAACCGAAGCAACGAGGCAGGAAGCTCTCACGTAACACAAACCATTTGTTGATTATTTTATTTTCCTTGCAACATAATTCAGTTTACCCCGAATTAGACCGCTTGCGGTGATATTGGACAAACGTGGTCTCGCTAACAGCAGTGAGATATGTGTTCGTCCACCAGTTGTATGTCTGATGTTTATACTTCCTGTGTACTTCTCACGGTTAAGTCTGTTGAAGTATTCACAGACCGCCGTCATATAGCTGGAATATTGCTGAATGCTGCGTTAAACCACAAACAAACAAACAAAACTGTTTTTAACGCCGCACTCAGCAATAGTCCAGCTATATGACAGCGGTCTGTCAATAAACGAGTCTGGACCAGACAATTCAGCATTTGACATCATGAGCATGGATCTACGCAATTGGGATACAATGACATGCATCAACCAAATCAGCGAGCCTACCCACCCGATCCCGTTGGTCGCCTCTTACGACAAGCATAGTCGCCTTTTACAACAAGTATTGGTTGCTTAAGACATACACATCTATTCTACCCCCCATCTTCAGAGGGGTGTTTACATAATAAGGTTATGAAAGCAACATACCTACTACTACTACTACTGTCACTACTACTACTACTACTACTACTACTACTACTACTACTACTACTACTACGTGAAGTTCCGGGGTAGGATAGGTCTTCAGCAGCCTATGTTTCCTGCAAGAGGCTTGTCGCATGAGGCGATTTAATGTTCTAGCCAGTACTCCCTTACCATGTGAAATTATCAATTATTTTTAATTCGTGAGTGAGTGAGTTGAGTTTAACGCCGCTTTTAACAGTATTCCAGTTATATCACGATGTGACAGCTTAGTGTGGGAGGAAAGCCCGAAGTGATGCAGGTCTCAGACGTTTACCACTTTGGTGAAACCCTCGAGCACGGGTATGGTGCTAACAAACCTAGAAACATCATCGGGGCGAACCGGGATTGGAGCCCCGGATCACAGGTTTCTGGCGTGCCCAAGGGACGCAACTCTGCACAGCGAATTGCGTCGCCTTAGACAACCGTCCCATTTTTATTAGTGTATAACACTGTTTAGCTGATCAGAAACATAACACTCCGTGTCCCTCTTGTCAAGATGCGGGTAAAATACATATATGAATTATACTTATCATAAGTGTATTTTTCAAATAGTCGTATTTTCATTTTTGTCTATCTTGAGAAACCGTTAATTGGTGGTAAATAAATCAGCTGATACGTTACACCTTGACATCGATACACTTTTTGTAGCTGTATTATTGTTTGAAATTCATTTCATTTCCTATGATATCGGCCGAAGACAGTCTCACGCATTGTGACCTTTTTATAGCTACGGTGGGCTGTTCTTGTCATGGAACTGATTCCTCCTTTGATGAGATAAGAAGTTCGTCACTGCAACCAGTTACACAGAGGGATCTTTTCATTCCTATACCAGTCGAACATTAGTAATTGAGACAAGAGTAATACGTGAACTAAGCTTTCGAAATATTGTGTTCGTCATTGTTAAAACATGTGCATGCTCACGTAAGAATAAACAACTAAAT